GATTATCTAGGATTTAACTTTAAAAGTGGAGTTAAATTAGAACTGCCAGAATTCCTAGTTGGTCTGATTAATTTTAACTGTGGAGATACATGTAGTATATTCTCTGCCAAAAGCAACCCTTGAATGACAGATAGGGGGAAAGTAGAAAATTCCAAGTTGGCTTCACCTCTTACTTATTTCTGAGTTATATGCTTTGGTGTTCTTCAACTTGAAATGCATGTTTTTGCAGAGTTGTGGAGATAGCTCATTTTTTTCTATTTTTATTTATTTGTTTTTAATGTCCACAGCATTTATGTCAATTGTAGAGCCAAAGAGATGCATTTTTAATATCCACAGCATTTATGTCAATTGTAGGGACAGAGAGATGCATTTACTTCTGCTAGTAACCTAGGTAGGTAACTCCTTCTCTGGAAGTTTATTGGCAGGTTCAATCATCAAAATTCATGCAGACATAAAAGCGCTTGATAGAATAGATTTTAGGGACATGGTAGTTCACAGGAAAACTGTCTATAGGCCTTTGTTATTGTTGCTATTCTGATTTTGTTTGTTTGTGTTTGGAAGATTGCCACTCATTTTTTTAGATCTGAGATTGCTTCAGAAATGATGAATTTTTAGACATCTGTATCCGTTAAATTCTTTCCATCTGTAAGGTCCTCCAAATGTGCTTTTGCAGTTCATCATTCCAGATAATTCCCTTTGTGTATTCTCTGATGATCTGAAAATGGCTAAGAACAACTTTTGGCACTGGAAGAAATGAATATCATTTTCATTATACCCTTCACATGTCAATGATGCTCAAATAGGAACTGTGTTTGAAATTTGAAAAAGTATTAGTACAGGTAAAAAGAAAAATTAAATTGTTACTTAAAGAAGAATTCTGACATAACCAAGTTTGTTGTTTATATAAATGAAATAGATGAAAAAAAAGACATAATGTTAAACAATCAATGGTAGGAAAATAGTTAAATATAGTTCTGAATTAGTGTACTCCATGAGGAAACACAGACTTGATGTTATATATTCTAAATCATTTACCTTGAATTATTTCATTGTATCCAGAGCTACATGATTTAAAAATATCTTTTCTCTTGAGAAGATTTTTCTCAAATCTCACTGTTCCTCTGACTCATGCTCAGTAATCCTTTTTAAATCTTTATGGTATACCTGAGCACAGTGGTGCAAGCCTATATTTCTAGCAACTCAGGAGACTGGGCAGGAGGATCACAAGTTCGAGGTCAACCTTAGCAATTTAGAGTGACCCTGTCTCAAAATACAAAATTAAAAGACTGAGGATGTGGAATGTGGCTTAGTGGTAGAATGCCCCTGGGTTCAATCCCTGGTACTAAAACCAAACCAAACAAAAATATGTGATATAATCATCCTAGAAGTACAGACTTATATACAATTGAATCCCCAACTTCCTACACCTCCGATTCAGTCATCAGCTTCATTTTACCAGCCTGCTTCATTACTTCTCAGTACTTTACTATAAACTTCTAATTTCATAAATGCTGAGAGTCTTTTTAAATATACTTGTACAACCATTAGTGGGAAAACTGTACAAAGTTGCCACCAAGAGTTGATCATCTTTCTTATTAATTCTTGTTGACTGTATATAATATTGTTAGGAACAGTGTGGATTTCAGCTCTTTTCCAGAATTCTTTTCTATTAAGGGCACTCCCTCCAGGTGATTTCTACTGTTTTTTAGTTCCTATATGATAATTCAAGTGAACCTGTAACCCTCACAATTTTTCCCCGAAATGCTGAAAACTAGAACTCTTTAGGTAGTCAACTATTTGAGAACAAGTGTTTTTTTTTGTTAATGTTTTGATTTTTTTTTTTCTTTTGGTGTGTTTGATGCTAGGAATTGAACCCAGGGCAGTGCACTTTCAAGGCAAAGCACTCTACCACTCAGCCCTCAGCCCTTTCTTGTTTTGACACAGATCTCATTATGTTGATCAGGCTGGCCTTGAATTCACAAGCACTCTGCCTCCATCTTCCAAATAGCTGGATTACCAGCATGTATCACCAGGCCCTGCTAGCAAAAGTGTTTTGAATGGACATGAGAATTACTAAAGTAATAGTGACTTAATAGAAAATGCTTAGGACAACAAAAGACAGAGGGTAATTCTCATGGCCCTCACTGAAAGGAAAAGGAGTTCAAAGTACAGAGCCTATTTATACCCAAATATTTCCCCATTAAATGTTACAGAAGTAGAGATATTGATGGACTGTGTAATCACTGACTTAAAACTTGTGATTTATAATTACAAGTTTCGATGGTTCCAGATAATTATTTTTCTTTTCCAAGTATACAAAAAGGAAAAAAGAAAGAAAAATTCTAAGTGTCGATCAAGCATGTTTTCGCTCTACCCTTGCCTCAATGGTGTTCAAAAATTGCAGTGCAATTAATCATTTCACAAAACAGCTGGTATACTTGTTTAATTAGCCTTTGCAAAATGATTATTCTTCCCGAACATTCTCCTTTAATCTTTCATTAATGCTAGGGTGTTAAAAAAAAATTTCCCTTCTTTGCTTTTACTGTTTATTCCATAAAACTTTTACTAAACACCTTTTCTGGGTCATGAAAATTGATGCTTTTGGGTAGCTTTTGATCTTTCTGGGAGGCCTAATTTACTTGATAAGCTCTCAACCTGTTAGTCCAGTTGAAATTTCAGTTATATTGGGCAAAGCTTTGAAATGGGGTTTTCTCACTTCATAACTTACCTGAAAATGTTCCTCTTTGTGCAGCGAAACAGAGAAAAAAAGTTTTATTAACTAAAGAGAGAATTAATGGCACCAAATAAAGTAACTCAGCTGGAAAGACTTTGTTTACTTTCTTGGTTTTTCAATTCCGCTATTTCTTTGTAAGGACGGTCTATATAAAATAAACCTCAAAAGGGAGGTCAGAATAACCAGTCTCAGTAATCAGGCCCTGTTGGCCTGGCATTTAGCTAAATAAATAAGAATTCAAGTTTATTCCTTGTTCAGAAGCTGGCAGCAAATTTGCTAAGTGATTGATTTGATGCTAATTTTCTGCATGGACTGAGAAGTCCTTTAGGGCCCGTCCTGCGGGAGGAAAATAAATCCAGCCAAGTTGACTAAGCCCTATTTTAGGTTTTATTTTGAGTTCTGAAAGTTTGGAAACTTCCCTTTCCCAGAAAGGCTGTATCACCAAGGGATTCTCACTTATGATGTTCCAAAGAATGCAACTTGCTCTGAAAAGATGGCAGAAGTTCCCTGCATTCCAAATCCCAGAACATTCTGAGGATAGCATTTCAATTAACCTATTCATGACAGGTGCTGTCATTTTCTACACTGTCATGGCGTATCTCTTGACATCTTTACTCAGTGTCAGATTCTAAGAGCCGAGGCTAAGTTTCTGCCCCAGCCCTAGATGGCATTATGTTACGATCCTAAATACCTGAGATAAACAAATTATAAAAGAGAAAAGGCTTATTTGGGGTTACAGTTTGAGAAATTTCAGTCCATGATCAGGGAGACTTACTATTTTCAGTCCTCTGGCAAGAGATGGGCAGCACATCGTGGTAGGAGCATGTAGCATAGCAAACTATTCACCTCATGACCAGGAAGTGAAAAAAACAGACAGGAAGAGGAGGAGCCAAGACCCCAATATCTCCTTCAAGGCAGACCTCCAATGACCTAAGATCACCAAGTTCCACCTCTTAAAGTTCCTGCCATCTCCTAATAGTGCCAAGCTAGTAAATAAGTCTTTAACACACGTGAGCTTCTGGGGGACATTTAAGATCCAACCTATAGCAGGCATAATGATGAATTTTGATACCACAAGAACTACCTTCTTTGTCTCAATATGTCCATGAATCAAGGAATGAGGTAGAGTTTTCTCATTTCAATATGCAATTCATGGGATGATTGGAGGGAATAAAGGGATAATTATGACACATAAATATTTTGCTGAATGGCAGTATGACAGAAAGGACACTTTAGTGAAGGACCATAGGTCTTGAGCCAGAAATTCTCTTTCCACAAACAGTCGGGGCAAGTTGCTTCTAGGCCACTGGAGGTGGAGGCCTTCACTTCCAACCATTTTCAATTAAGAATAAAAGGCAACTTTGTTTTGAAGTCTTTCTGGCTTTAATTGTTTGAGGTTATGCTGTCATTTTGGAATCTCTATTTATAAACTAAATTTTTTTTCAACATTTATTACCAGGATCCAAAATTACGTGAACTTCTGGATGTGGGGAACATTGGGCGCTTGGAGCATCGGATGATAACAGTGGTGTACGGGCCAGACCTAGTTAATATCTCCCATTTGAATCTCGTGGCTTTCCAAGAAGAAGTAGCCAAGGTACAGTAGCTGGAAACCTCTGAAGCTCTCTTCTCAATGTTAATTCTTATGATATTGTACTAATACCTATGAAAGACTTTGAATGTTTGTCATACTTAACTTGTGCTAAAATTCCAAGTAACTATAAATCAGTCATCAAGTATAAGTGTAATTAAACACTTTCCAATAATTATATGTATTTTGAATTATGGGCTTTTTTTTTCCACTAGGAGAAAAACACCTGATATAATTCCTTTGCAAAATAAAATAGTAGATAAAACCACATTCCATTTCACCTATCCCAAGTTATTATCGCAGATTCCTTCTTGTTTTATCTAACTCTACTTCCATTTCAACTCTCTCCTTGAGGGCAGGCAACTTTAATACCTTCTTAAATTCTTTGTCCCTGAACAACACATAGCCTACCACCATTTATATAGTATTAATTCAATTAAAATGGGAGAGAAGAAAAAAACACAAAATTTTAAATAACTGTACTTATTAGACTCTGGACTAGGAAGGTGAATTAGATACACCCTGTCCATTAAGAAACTGCTATTCTACTAAGATAAAGGGTCTTTCAGATAATATAGAAATACCTGGAATATAAGTACAATACAGCAAACAAGAAGCTGGACCCAGGAGTGATACTTTCTCTAGAAATGCCCAAAGGCCTTTAAAATATGTATGTGTACGTATACCTATACATACATATGTACGTACGCATATAAGTACATGTATACATACACACACATACACACAGTAGTGAATGTATTTAAAGAGCTTTCTTTTTCCATGTTCATATTTTATGGAATGCTAGTTATGATCCTTGTCCTTCCTACAAATTCCTTCAAGGGTTGAGAAGATAAGTAGGAATACTTTGAAGGATGCGTATCTTATAGGTGCCCTTATAGGGTATCTCAGGTCACAGATCACAGTAGCAGGGTCACTCCAGGGCAGTGTGTATTGTTTGGGCATTATGATCTATAATTTCCTAATCCTCAGTGTTCTGACAACTTTATGAGCTACACCGGATATACTAGCCTGACCTTTAATTCGTTAATTATTATTGGCAGGGGTTTATTTCCAATATTTACATTACATTGACTTTAATTCTTACAGCAGAATGAATAAAATGCCATCCAGTTTTAATTCTCTAAGGTATTTAGAAATTCTCTCCAAGTGTGTTCAAACCTAATCTGTTTTCTCTGACAAATGACCAAGTTACCCATTTACTTCTATTGCATAATTTACACTTGGAGACATTTCCGTTCAATGGAACTTTATGTGTGTGTCAGCATTGTGCTTATCTTGCTCTAGTTATTCTAGTGTCCCACTGTTACCTTTTTTGAATTTATATACTTCATTTCTCAATGTATGGATGGGTCCTTAGACAAATGGATGAATATAAGCAAATGCTAAAAATTTGAAAAATATTTTTTAAATTGCTTTTTCCAAACACAATCATATTCCCATTCAAAAAAAAATCACCAATTTATGAGATTCACTAAATCTCAAGTTAAAACATTCATTAAATGATAGTGACTTTCAGGGAGGTTTTTAATAACAACAAATATAGGTTTTTATATTTTATCTCAATCTGTATATCTTAAATTGCATTAAACCTTTCTACAGATATATTTAAAATATATCTAATTTTTTCCTCTCTGTAGTTCCCACCCACTAATTTTCTGTAAGGGGGTTTTGATTTCTGAGACCTGTAATATTTCCCATCAGTACTATTTTTATAAAGATTTTTCCAGCAGCTAGTTGAAGTTCTTGGTATAATTAATGAAGTCATGGAGCATGTTTTGACTTCCCTGGCTGTAATATTCTTAGGGTATTTTCCCCCACTGAAATTGCTAGGCCAGAAAGTTAAAATTTGTAATCACCATGTTATTCTTGAAATTCATTATTCATATTTCTAATTGTTAGTATGATCTCAGAAGATCATATCTTCTTTTTAATTTCTGGGGACAGTGTATATTGTGCCTAGTGCAGGGCCAGTATTCAAGTCTTGTTTTATTGTATGGAAAGGCCAACAGAAGTCCACTGTAACAGCTTGGATCTGGAATGTCTCTCATAGGCTTATGTGTTGAAGGCTTGGTCCCTAATGCATTACTGCTCAGAAGTGGGGGCTTTGGGGAAGTGAATGCTCCATGATTCATAGCTCAGTGTTCTACTGGGACATGGTGGAAATTGTAAGGAGTAGAATCTAGTTAAAGGGATTGGGTTCTTGGGGACATGCCCTTAGAAACTATATCTTGTCTCGAGCCCTTCCTCCTGCCCGCTCTTTCTCTCTCTCTTTCCCTCTCCCTCTCCTTCTTTCTCTTTTCTAGCCACCATGAGGTGAGCAGCTTTGCCTAGACTCAGGTTTTCCCCATGATATTCTGCCTCATCTCAGCAATAGAGCCAGCTGATCATGGACCTCTGAAGCCATGAGCCAAAATAAATCTTTCCTCCCTTAAGTTATTGTTTTAGTCAGCTTCTTCATTGCTGTGACCTGAAAAACTGACAAAAACATGAACAGTTTTAAGGAGGAAAAGATTATTTGGGGGCTCAGGATTTCAGAGGTCTCAGTTCATGGACACCAGCTTCATTACTTGGGGCTCATGGTAAAGTAGCCCATCGTGGTGGAAGAGGGTGGTGAAGGGAAGGGCTCAAGACATCACAGGAAGGAGAGAGAAAGAAGGAGGTGGGGAGAGACTCCACTCACCAGATAAAAAAATATAAACCCCAAAAGCACATCACCAAGGACCCCCATCCTCCAATCACACCTTACCTGCCTTCTGTTCCCTCTCAGTTCATTCCTATCAGGGGATTAATTCACTGATTAGGTTAAGGCTCTCATAACTCAATCATTTCACCTCTAATTCTTCTTGCATTGTCTCACACATGAGCTTTTGGGAACACCTAATATCTAAACCAAAACAGTTATTTTCTCAGGTATTTTGTCACAGTAATGGAAAGCTAAAAAACCTAAACTCCTGTAAAAGTTAAACATCTCCAGAAGAGATTGTACACAAACAGATTTGTCTCATTTTTCATTCATTCAACACACATTTGTTGGGTGGGTGCCTTGTCTGTTTCAGCCACAATTCTAGGGTTAGGGACACTTCAGTGAAGAAAACTAATCCCTTATGGGCCTATATTCTTGAAGAAGAAAAAACAGATAATTCATAATAAAGTTTTGAACATATCATATCTTAGATGGAGGACTGTGTGGAAGAATAGAGGAGAACAAGGAATGTGTATATAGGAGAAAAAATTATTTCTTTATGGGCTGGTCAGAGAAAATGAAAATCTGAGGAAAGTTGCTCAGCTGCCACAATATCATAGATCTCCGAGAATTCTCCTGTATCAATGAGAAATTTAAACTAGAACTGAGACTTAAATTTTCCCAAAGATGTGATTCTAGATTCACATGCCATTTTGTTCTTTCCTGAACCACTTGAAATTGAATTTTTAATTTATACTTTAAGACAAGTGAATCCTTTAAGAGACAGATATGAAGGGAAAACTGTCTTTCATTGTCTTCTTCTGTAATTGAACTCTGAACATAGTGTCCCTGGCAATTACACTTTTGTTACACAGCATGATTTGCCAGCCCTTCTCTACCCTGACAACCAGGCTCATCTGCTTCCTTGGTGGAGGGTGGGTGTCTCCCTTGAATGTAAGTGGTTTGTTTTCCATTCTCCCTGCCACCTTGGTTACCCTGAGAACCGGTGGGTATGCTGTGCTTGTGACCACGTGCAACTCCCAGACACCTCCCTGGGGTGCTCTCCAGAACTGCAGGGGAGGTGGTGAATGCCCCCTAGAGTCCTTTCCTCTCCTGTCCTTGGTTGCCAATGGTCCTCCACTTACTGCTATATGATTTATGGTAGGATTGGAGAGGCAGCAGCAGAAGAAGGGAAAAATAGGGAAAGAGGGGATAAAATAAGCTCCATGATAACATGGCTGCCTCATGATCTCAGGGAAGAGGACAGAGATGAAGCCCGGGCAAGGTATTCTTGAGAGGACACAAAAGAGTTGCTGGACTACTTCCCTGTTGTCTCCATGACTGAGTTTTCCTTGAAAACCCCACAATGCCAGTCACTAGCCTCTTTCAGGGGGGCTTCTCTGCTAACTACAGTTACTTTCCTCATGGCTCCTGCTCATCCTATTCCAGTGCAGACCCTGGACCTACAACTCCTACACCTTCAATTGGGCTATCTTAAGTATCAATTTATCATAGAGTCTTGTCCTCTAATTTTTTCCAGTGTCTTAGACAAACATTTAGTCCTCCAAATTTTGGCCCAGTCTCCACTGAGATTCCTCGCCAACAAGGGGTGCTGATGTACTCCATCCCCATACCACCACCCCCTGTGTATCTGTCAGTTAACTCCTAGGACAGAATAAGGCCCAAATTCTCAGAGGCTGTATGGGCTATCTTCAGGGTGGTTGGCATACATTCTTACAGGACCTCACATATTATTAATAACTGCATTGCACAGAGGTAAGGCAGAAGGGATTTGGAGGAATTGTAGCAACCTCATTGTGCTCCTACCAACTGTTGTCTCAGAGCAATATGTAGGAAACTTAAGCATGGATAAGAATAGCCTGAGTGGCTTACTAAAAACTCTGTGTTAGACTCAAGCTCCAGCAGGTCTGGGATGAAGCCTGAGAAATTGCATCTCTAACAAACAAGTTCCAAGATGGTGCCAATACTGCAGGTATTATATGACACTGTACCCTGAGGATCTCTTCCTTAGAGAAGTGTGGGCTCAGTGTTGCCAGGTCTTTGGGTTTTCATCTAAAAGGAGATGAAGAATCCACATGAAATATTAAATATTAGCAAAAATTGTCTTTAGCACGTGAGCCAACCAAAACACAACTATGGACTGAATATGACATATGGGCTTCCATTTGGCAGCTTTTGGGTCTAGATACTTATTCAGAATGGAAAACGTTGTCTTAAATGAAGTCTCAAAACCACCGAGCACAACGGAGAAAGCATGGAATGCTGTTTTGCAGAGTAGAAT